AGAGATTATGGAGGAAGGGACAGTACAGTGACGACCAGGTGTCGAACATGGACGAATCTGGTCTTTCTGGAAAAAGTTACCTTCCAAGACCTTTCGTTGTCCAGTCTGGCGAAGAAAGGTATGTCGGAAGATGCAGAAGGAACGATCACCGCCCTGTTTACTCACCAATGCCTCCGGTACCTGTAAACCAGTTATCGGTGATTCACAGTTCGCGAAGTCAAGACGCCTACAAGAATATGGACATGAAATGCTTTAATGTCCACTGGCTAACCGCGACGTAAGGCGTGATGCTCTTCTTCTGTCCTCTTTCTGGTTTGACAACTGGGTTTTGTTCCTGACGGCAGAAATTCTACAGCAAACAGAATGTTTTATCTGGCTGCTGTTGCTCCTGACAACGCATCAGACACTCGCCCTTACTTTGCGGATCGGGCCACCTCAACGTAAAAGTGGTCTTCTTCTCCCAACACTACGCTGGCTAATCTGTTTGGCACCAGGAGTTGATCTGCAATGTGAAAGCTATGCATTCTGCAAAGTAGTTCAAGCTTCCTGAACGACTCTACCAACAATTGGCGATGAGTTATGCAAGCTGGGTGACACCGACAGCAGAGTAAAAGCGACGAGGACAAGGAACAAGAGGCGCAAGCGCATCAAGAACTTCTCACAACAATTTGGAAGAAGTTTAACGCTAAAAACGTTGCAGACTTGGTGGAGGCATGGGATCTGCTGACTATTGCTAATGATTCGTCACGATGGAAGGGTGTTGCATGGCATACCAGGTGAGAGGGAGGAGTGAACCTGTGACTGGTCAGGTTCAGACTGTTGCAGTAGCAGTGGACCTTGCCAGAGAAGCTGGCAACAGTATTACAGCTGAAGGCTTCTCCGAGACCACCAACGGCTACACATCCTGGAGGTGACTGAGATCCTGAAGTGACTGCCGATTTGTATGTTGGAAGAAGAACCCGCCCAGTGAAGAGGAGGAAGAAGGTGCAATATTCTCCCAAGAACCTAGTTTAAGCCAGTGATATTGGCGGCCATAGAGTTTACAGAAAAATTAAGTCCGCCCTTTCCCCGCTGACAATGACGATGAACGCTTATGATGCCTTCCATACCCGACTGGTGTAGGCTATGGAGCCATACATCAAGGTGTGTCACGGCAACATCAACACCAGCCGCCAGAAAGCATAACCGAAGTTCTTTCGCCTGCGAACCCACCACAGCCAGTCCAAGCCAGTGATAGTGAGAGTGAAGTTGATTTGAGGGAGCCTGTCAGAAGCCCTGACAACTGTGGTGACAGTGATATTGATTCACCTAGTAATGGTGATTCACCTGAGGCAGTAATTCCCTGCCTCGAGAACCAGCCTCCATCCCTCGAGTGCCACCTATCTCTTCTACTACTGTGGTTCGCAAAAAATTTTCTTTTCGTTTTTAACCTATTCTTTATTTTTCCTATGTTAACCCTTTTTATCTTTCCTAACCTAACCTCTTCTTCTATATTACTTGTTTTTCTATGCCACCATAAAGTTAAGATAGAATTTTTACTACAACATAGTTATTTGTCGTCAAAAGTGAGTTTGGGGGGTCGGGCTGGGTTCTATTGGAATTAATCCCATATGTTCTGTTGTTCACTTAATCGCTGGCCTCACTCACGCCGGGACCCTCCTGGGTTCTATTGCTGACTCAAGCATATATATATATATATATATATATATATATATATATATATATATATATATATATATATATATATATATATATATATATATATATATATATATATATATATATATATATATATATATATATATATATATATATATATATATATATATATATATATATATATATATATATATATATATATATATATATATATATATATATATATATATATATATATATATATATATATATATATGCATAACATACTTACAAAACAATGATTAAATCACTATATTATAGCCCAAGTCCTTATATAGATCTAAAGTCACTTAATTTAAGACTAAAGAAGAAAAAGAATGACAAAATACAGTAGATAAAGGTAAAAAAATAAAGTCATCGGGTAAATAAATTACTGTAAATTTCAAGTTTAACCCCATTGTATAAGCGGGCGTTAAGTAGTCAGGGACCTCCTGTGTACTGTATGCATATATGTAAGTATACATGCACACACACACACACGCTACATCCCGACTACTGAAGGGTCAAGACGTACCTGGTGCTCCTCTGGGAGCAGCCAGGTCAACTGTTAAGTTGGCCTATACCAACTCCCTCCCCTGAACTCTCCTCCCCACCAGAATATCAACAAGTTCTTGCCAGAAGTTACAATTTCATTTAGGAAAAGCATGGAACCAGTGTTGAACAGAGGTGAACAGTGGTGAACAGTGCTTAAGTCAGTGAGAACAACTCAACAGTAACAACCGAGTGTACCCAAGTTAACCTTCACACAGTGAGGTCCCAGGTACCCAGTGATAACTGCCCGTGAGACCCAACAACAACCAGTGATGTGTTAATCCGTCTATGATAGGAAGGCCTGGGACCACACCTCACTCTGTGAGGGAATTACAACACCACATGAGGTCCCTCAGAACACCATATGTGAGGGAATTACTACACGTCAGGTCCCTCATAACACCATCTGTGAGGGAATTACTACACCGTGAGGTCCCTCATAACACTATCTGTGAGGAATTACTACCGTCAGGTCCCTCATCACGTCTGTGAGGAAATACTACCACATCAGGCCCCTCATAACACCATCTGTGAGATTAGGTACACCACGTGATGCCCTCATAACACCATCTGTGAGAATTACTACACATCAGGCCCCTCATAACACCATCTGTGAGGAATTACTACAACACGTGATGCCCCTCATAACACCATCTGTGAGAATTACTACACCACATGATGCCCCTCATAACACCATCTGTGAGAATTACTACACGTGAAGCCCCTCATAACACCATCTGTGAGGAATACTACACCACGTGAAGCCCCTCATAACACCATCTGTGAGAATTACTACACCAAGTGAGGTCCTTCATAACACCATCTGTGAGAATTACTACACACGTGATGCCCTCATAGCACCATCTGTGAGAATTACCTACATGAGGTCCTCATAACACCATCTGAGAATTATTACATCAGGTCCCTCATAACACCATCTGTGAGAAATACTACACCACATCAGGCCCTCATAACACCATCTGTGGGGAATGTACACCAAATGATGCCCCTCATAACACCATCTGTGAGAATTACTACACCACATCAGGCCTCATAACACCATCTGTGAAATTACTACTACACGTGATGCCCCTCATAACACCATCTGTGAGGAATTACTACACCACATGATGCCCCTCATAACACCATCTGTGAGGAATTACTACACCACGTGAAGCCCTCATAACACCATCTGTGAGAATTATTACACTACATCAGGTCCCTCATACACCATCTGTGAGTAACTACTACATCACGTGAGGTCCCTCCTAACACCATCTGGGAGAGTTCACACCGTGTTTGCTGTTCAACACCTACATTTATCTGTATGTTCCTTTACCTTTCTCTAATGAAGGCTTTTGTTAAACCACCAATGTATGTAATAAGTCATTTATGTCCAATGTATATTTTCAGCCTTCGGGCTGCAGAACTTTTTCAAGAAACCCTTAATATAGTTTTTTCTCTCCAGAAAATCTTACCATATGTCCTGCATTTAGAATCCAGTAGAAAGTAAAGTTTTTGAATGATTTTGAAAATGCAGCTGTGGCACCTGTGGAGTCTTCAATGGGCTTTCTGACAGCATTTACCCAATACTTGGTGCCTTCCCAGTGCATATTTTCAACCCACTTCTGAGCACCTGTAAAAGTACAAGAAAAGCCATTTTTTATTAATAAACAAAATTTCATGATGGCATCTTCTTTTTTTTCTTCATCTAAAAATGTTGAATAAGTGTTCATTTTTCATAAGAAGACAATTAACAATAATTAATCAATTATAATTAAAAATATAAATAATTTTTAAACTATTATTTCCCCCATACAGCTCACAATAAAAACTTCACACACAGTACAAGTACTGTACTGCATCTAAAATTTAGATAAAAAACAGTCAGGCTACTAATAAATGAATATCACTCCTGCCATCACAAATCTGATAAAAAATTTACCCAGACAATACTGTCATATATTGCATTTGGTTTGATTGCTTTACTTGTTAATGGTATTTAAAGAAAATTTCAAATTTTCCTAGCCAAAATTTTGACTTTTTTCTTGTGACCATTTCAATTGACACAAGAACCCCACCCCCCTCACAAAATCTTAGATCCGCCCCTTTTGAATATTAATGTACAGTATTGGGATTAGCAGTGCGATTAATTTGACAGCTTTACTTATAGGTATGTAGAAATGTTCTAAAATCTTGTCATTTCCTAATTTCAGCTGTGTCTGACTGACACTCAGAAATTGTGGATAATACTGTTCTTGCATTCAAGATGATCCTGGCATTCCTTCCTTCAATAAAGTTGACCGTGCCTTATCCAGCATTCAGTGGACTCCCAACTCCCAGAAAAAACACTATTCGGTAAACCTCCTAATTAACAGCACATTCAACCATCATGCAGTTATCAAATTGGCCACAGACCCAATTCAACATTATATAATGACAATGAAATAATAACCACCCCACAAAACAAAATTGTAATCATAAATAAAAAAAAAAGGCTAGTTAAGTGGTGGCTTGTCTAGATGGGGTAAGTTGAAGCTCTTACACTGTACTGTACTGTACTGTACTGTACTGTACTGTACTGTACTCTACTGGTAAACGTATATTACTGTTCTTTTCAGGTCCAGGATCAGAATACAAGTATAATGTCATCCCATATACAAATTACTTATTTTTATATTTCTTTCTGAAAAAAGGCAACTGTAAACTGTAGAAGGTACAGTGGTTTTGATAAAAAAGATGAACACACACTTCAAAGTTCAAACCTTACACAATGTTAGGTAGGAGCCCCGTGTCTTTATTTTTGTGAAGCCAATGTCAAAATTGTATATAGATAGATCTGCCAAATTGCCAAGCAAAGGTGCTTCAATTGCTGGTTAACAGTTTCATTTGGTTTACTGTTGTATATTATCTACTTCCACTATTTATCTTTTCTTACTACAGTGAAGTTGCAATAATCTGTGATTTTCAAATTCGCTAACTTTAATTCATGGTTAGCTTTATTACTAAAGTAGTGTACCTATTTTATTTAATTTTGCATTAAAATTTCCATAATTCACGGCTGGGGCTACAGCGTTTGAATCTCAGGGTCGATCACTTGTGAGGACGTTCCCATTCTGACCTAGAACTCAACTTCAGGGTTTCCATTTGGTATTTTCCATTATAGAACTGTACAGTACCAAATTCAAGGAAATTTAGTTATGAAAAATCTGTTTGATAATGAAAATATGGTTAGATAATGAGGATATTCTTAAAGAACCTGGAAGGAGGAGGAGGAGAGATCACAGGTGATGTGGCCCCCCTACAACCACAGTATACTCCAAGTGAACCTGTGTCAAAAAATTTATTACATGCCAGTCATATCACTAAAGTTAAACTTCTTATTTTTTTTCCTTTATTGTTTTTCATTTCTGTGTATTAGAAAAAAGAAAATGGTAATTAAGGATTTTATTTGGTAATGATAGAGATGGGTTTGGTACTGGCTGCAAAATCAGAGTTGGCAACTGTACCTCAGCCTCCTGCTGCCCTCCCTCCACCTCCTATGTACCGTATTTCTCGGCTCATAGATAAAGGTATATTTGGATATATATTTTTTTTTTAAATTATTAGCCTACCGTATTAGCAACTCAAATTAGCTGGCTATATGTATCATGTTTCTCACTACCACAGCTCACTATCACTTTATGGACCTATTATCAAACATATGTTGGTATTATTAATAAAATTTACCTAATTTAATACAAAAGATGTATATAATTATATGTATAGGTACCTCAAGTATATACAAATACAGTACTTATCGGTACCGGGCACGTTCACTAGGCACTGTCCAGCACAGGGCTTGTTTACATCCCACTACCTGTACACCAGATCACCTCACGTTTTAGAGGTACAGTATTGCCTTTGCATCGTCACTACCACAGTTAACTATCACTGTATAGATCCTATGTCAAACATCTGTTCATATTATTTATTAACATTACCTAAATTTAGTACAAAATAGTATAGTTACTGTATATTTTTATACACATTACAAATTCATGGAACAGTATGGAAAATAAAGCAATAATATAAGAACATTAAGTAAGCTTCCTACATTAATAAATCTGGTACATAGTCATAATACCGGGATATATTTATTACATATGAACGGTAACTGCAGGTTTATATTACATGTCTGGTGTTTGTGAGGGCTGATGAACTTACCTGAAAAGGTGCCTAAGTAGCCAGAAATATTTTGGTATCAAGGACAATTCCCAGTACGGAGATAACCCAAGTGACCAAAAAATTCACAATACCAGAAATGCTATGGACCAATTATTCTGTTGTTGAGAGATATTGCTTTACAGTAATAATAACTGAAATACATACCTGGGGTACTGACTATCAGGTCCAGCTGCCCATTGTAGACAACAACCTTCAATGATGATGTGTTTAACAACATCTCAACTGTTGGATAAAGAACCAAATTCAAATATAGTGCGTGTGTGTGTGTGTGTGTGTCCAAGAGTAAATATAGTAGTACGTACATGACTGGTAACAGTTAGACATGTAAAACTGCAAATAACTGTGATGTATACATATATGAGATTTTTTTCTTGGTGCCCTCCACTATATTTACAACGATCTTATGTGGCCCAGAGCCTATAAAAGGTTGGGGACCACTTTACTACACTATAACAATTTAAAAACTAAATAATGTAAATATTTGGTGACTTTGTATTGGAAATAGCATTATATAAACCATATTAGTGTAATTATATAAAAGATATGATGAAAGGGATATTAGTGTGCATACCTTACACAAGTTCAGAGGAGCAATTTTACACTGTGTCTGGGACAATCAAAACGGTCACGATACCATAAAATGTATAAATCTTTCTTAGTTAAGTACTGTATCTTAATATTTGGTTTGATGTAACTAAACAAATATAATAATTTATACTGTATATTGTTACCATTATTTTAACACACACACACACACACACACACACACACACACACACACACACACACACAGTGTGGGTTATACACACACTCAGTGGTAAGGTTATACACACACTCAGTGGTAAGGTTATACACACACAGTGGTAAGGTTATATACACACTCAGTGGTAAGGTGATACACACTCAGTGTAAGTTATATACACACTCAGTGGTAAGGTTATATACACACACAGTGGTAAGGTTATATACACACTCAGTGGTAAGGTTATACACACACTCAGTGGTAGGTTATACACACACAGTGGTAAGGTTATACACACACAC